GCTTTTTTTATGGTAATATATCATGAAAATATAAAAATGAAATTGTTTTTTAAATACTATTAGATATACATATTGTATATAAAACATGTAAATATGTATGTACATATTGTATTCACACACATTTATTACATGAAGTAACTTATAAGTATGTATGTATATGTTTAATATGTTATAAAATGTCATAAAAATATTGTTACTACATACACATACATAAACGTTTTTGTTCATGCTTAGACGCGAAAACGCGAAAACATTCGAACTCAATAAGGCGATATCACAACCAGTTGTAGCAATGATGTAGCAATATGAAATTGTTTTCATCTATATACATTGTTACGACGAAGCATTTTTTGCATGTAAAACAAATGAATATATATTTGTAAAAACGAATGCTAGTATACTAATGATTTTGTAGAAAGTGTCAAATAGTCAGGTTAAGTTAGCCGAATATGGAAGCGTCATTGCACCGGCGCTAAAGTTTGTTATTGTCGTATCGTATTGATTATTGCTGTCGACCGTGTTTTAAAGAGATACCGACAACGATTTCGAGTGAAAACAAATGAATAATCAGCAAGAAAGAAGTAAGAAAAGATTAAAAATCTCGTCCATGCAGAAAAACATTCACTGTGTTCTTGATAATTACAATTCCACCGTATTTCTTACTCGAAAGCGGCAGGTAACAGACTGGTAATTCATTGTTTACAATTTATACGAAAGGAAACGTAAACTGTTTTAATTAAACAATACTGGTTACAGGCAAATGAAGGCTGATCTATAATAGAAGTCACATGCTTGTCTTTTATTAACAAGTACATATCTAGTATTATAAATTTAAAAATATGGATGCTGCCACTGAATCAGAACTTATAGACAAACTAGTGAAAGAAGCTGAAAGTTTAAAAATACGACTGGAAGAAGAACGACAGAAATTGAATGATATTACTCGTAATTATGACATGAGCTATACCTAAGATACATTGTTAAGTCTTGCAAGATATATAAACAGTATTTCGAAAGTGTCATTACGTAGTCGATTTAAAGTGTTCTATGAGACTCAACATTGTCTACTATAGTACATAATAAAAGATAGAACTGCGACATAATTAATATTATTATTTCAGTTGCCAGTGTTGCGGATAGGCTTGAAGCAATCAACTGTACCAATGTGAAACCACGACGTGTTTTAAAAGGTCATCAAGCAAAAGTCCTTTGTTCAGATTGGTCGCCTGATAAACGGCATATTGTGTCCTCTTCGCAGGTCAGTGGCCAGTCTAACTGTTTATGTATTTCTTTAAGTATTTTTTCATACAATTAATGTTTTAGGATGGCAAGATGATAATATGGGATGCATTTACAACAAACAAAGAACATGCTCTTACTATGCCAACAACTTGGATTATGGCTTGCGCTTATGCTCCAAGTGGTACTCTTGTTGCATGCGGGTATTAAGACACTATTAATTTCTCCTTAATAATCTATAATAATCGATTGACATTAGCACCAATTTTATCTTGTTGTATGTGATAAGAGTGATTTAAATGTTATATTTATTTTTTGCAGAGGACTGGATAATAAAGTTACTGTATATCCTCTGAGCCAAGAAGACGACGTGTCAACGCGCAAAAAAACTGTCGCTACACACACATCTTATATGTCATGTTGCGTGTTTCCCAATAGCGATCAACAAATTTTAACTGGTAGCGGAGATAGCACGTGCGCTTTGTGGGATGTAGAGAGTGGACAACTGTTACAAAGCTTTCTTAGGCATTCCAGCGATGTTATGTCTATTGATTTAGCACCAAGCGAAACCGGTAATACATTTGTTTCCGGTAGTTGCGATAAAATGGTTCTGATATGGGATATGCGCACTGGTCAATGTGTTCAAAGTTTCGAAGGACATCAGTCTGATGTTAATTNGCTTTTTTTATGGTAATATATCATGAAAATATAAAAATGAAATTGTTTTTTAAATACTATTAGATATACATATTGTATATAAAACATGTAAATATGTATGTACATATTGTATTCACACACATTTATTACATGAAGTAACTTATAAGTATGTATGTATATGTTTAATATGTTATAAAATGTCATAAAAATATTGTTACTACATACACATACATAAACGTTTTTGTTCATGCTTAGACGCGAAAACGCGAAAACATTCGAACTCAATAAGGCGATATCACAACCAGTTGTAGCAATGATGTAGCAATATGAAATTGTTTTCATCTATATACATTGTTACGACGAAGCATTTTTTGCATGTAAAACAAATGAATATATATTTGTAAAAACGAATGCTAGTATACTAATGATTTTGTAGAAAGTGTCAAATAGTCAGGTTAAGTTAGCCGAATATGGAAGCGTCATTGCACCGGCGCTAAAGTTTGTTATTGTCGTATCGTATTGATTATTGCTGTCGACCGTGTTTTAAAGAGATACCGACAACGATTTCGAGTGAAAACAAATGAATAATCAGCAAGAAAGAAGTAAGAAAAGATTAAAAATCTCGTCCATGCAGAAAAACATTCACTGTGTTCTTGATAATTACAATTCCACCGTATTTCTTACTCGAAAGCGGCAGGTAACAGACTGGTAATTCATTGTTTACAATTTATACGAAAGGAAACGTAAACTGTTTTAATTAAACAATACTGGTTACAGGCAAATGAAGGCTGATCTATAATAGAAGTCACATGCTTGTCTTTTATTAACAAGTACATATCTAGTATTATAAATTTAAAAATATGGATGCTGCCACTGAATCAGAACTTATAGACAAACTAGTGAAAGAAGCTGAAAGTTTAAAAATACGACTGGAAGAAGAACGACAGAAATTGAATGATATTACTCGTAATTATGACATGAGCTATACCTAAGATACATTGTTAAGTCTTGCAAGATATATAAACAGTATTTCGAAAGTGTCATTACGTAGTCGATTTAAAGTGTTCTATGAGACTCAACATTGTCTACTATAGTACATAATAAAAGATAGAACTGCGACATAATTAATATTATTATTTCAGTTGCCAGTGTTGCGGATAGGCTTGAAGCAATCAACTGTACCAATGTGAAACCACGACGTGTTTTAAAAGGTCATCAAGCAAAAGTCCTTTGTTCAGATTGGTCGCCTGATAAACGGCATATTGTGTCCTCTTCGCAGGTCAGTGGCCAGTCTAACTGTTTATGTATTTCTTTAAGTATTTTTTCATACAATTAATGTTTTAGGATGGCAAGATGATAATATGGGATGCATTTACAACAAACAAAGAACATGCTCTTACTATGCCAACAACTTGGATTATGGCTTGCGCTTATGCTCCAAGTGGTACTCTTGTTGCATGCGGGTATTAAGACACTATTAATTTCTCCTTAATAATCTATAATAATCGATTGACATTAGCACCAATTTTATCTTGTTGTATGTGATAAGAGTGATTTAAATGTTATATTTATTTTTTGCAGAGGACTGGATAATAAAGTTACTGTATATCCTCTGAGCCAAGAAGACGACGTGTCAACGCGCAAAAAAACTGTCGCTACACACACATCTTATATGTCATGTTGCGTGTTTCCCAATAGCGATCAACAAATTTTAACTGGTAGCGGAGATAGCACGTGCGCTTTGTGGGATGTAGAGAGTGGACAACTGTTACAAAGCTTTCTTAGGCATTCCAGCGATGTTATGTCTATTGATTTAGCACCAAGCGAAACCGGTAATACATTTGTTTCCGGTAGTTGCGATAAAATGGTTCTGATATGGGATATGCGCACTGGTCAATGTGTTCAAAGTTTCGAAGGACATCAGTCTGATGTTAATTCTGTATGTTTTTTCTATATACTATTCGTTGTATACATTATTTAATAAGATTGGATTAATGATATCAGGAGTAAATAATTTTTATTATACTATTTTCTTCTGGAGTTTAGGTAAAATTTCATCCTGGTGGAGATGCAGTTGCAACAGGTTCGGACGATGCAACCTGTCGTCTTTTCGATTTACGCGCCGATAGAGAAATAGCTGTTTACGCTAAAGAAAGTATAATATTTGGGGCAAACGCTGTTGATTTAAGTGTTAGCGGACGCCTGCTTTTCGCTGGTTATAATGACTACACTGTAAATATATGGGATACTCTGAAATGCCAACGAATTGCATTTTTGTATGGACATGAAAATCGAGTATCATGTTTACGAGTTTCACCAGATGGAACTGCCCTCTCAACTGGAAGCTGGGATTCAACTCTACGAGTTTGGGCTTAATATTGATAAAACTACACTTGCCATTTCATTATACTGTTAGATAAAATTCAAACATTTCTTGGTGCAGAATGTAAATCTTGAAAACCTATACAATGAGATTACTATATGTTGATTTTAAGTAAAATACTCTGGAAAATAATACGATACATGAGTTGTTGCAACGTAAGAGTACTGTTATAGTCATTACAGATATTATAGCAGATAAGTGAGATTAGAAATCGTGATTGAAAGTCACGATTATAACAATGTGATAGTTTGACATTAATAATTTTTAGGCTGATCCTAATTTATAGGAAATTGCGCGAATAGTACATCTATTTAATCGAATATGTTATTACCCTATATAAAACTCAATAAAACATTGATTCATGCATATTCTATGCGATTAACGATGTAATGTTTTATTTTTCCTAACTATTGTTCTACGTTGCAGTAAGATAAATTTTAATAAAACGGCGACGATCTTTTGTAAATGGGATGTTAATATTCCAGTAAGTTTCACGTGTGTTTTCATCACTATAATATCGTTAATAAAAAATTTTTAATTGGAAAATAAGTATCAAAATTCTTCGTGTCTCCAAAAATCGGCAAATTAAGAGGTCTTTATCCCAATTACATACATGGTGTCATATTCGTGTACGTGTCGCACTTGCTATGTTGCATAAATGTAAAGTAGTATTTGTACATGTTGCACTGCTCTGTGGCGTTTGTTCTCGCGCGCGCGGTTTCCGAGTGAGTGAATAACCCTGTATGTACCTGACCGCTGTACACTGTTGTACATCTACGTACATATATACGCGAATGTCTGACGGTGCATTTTGTCAAAGTTTATAGTGATAGTGAATAAACATTGTAAAGGTTCAGTTTATCAATTAGCACACGTTTACAAGAAGTAAACACGTTGAAAAAAATTAAAGGAACATGCCTCAATACACGGGTACGTATGTAGCGAAACTTCAAAACTTTCGTACACCTAACCTATCATTTTTTACACAACTTTTTATCGCGTGATATTTGGTAATCGACATTTAAGATGTTTTCTTTCAGTTAAAGTTAAATGGGGGAAGGCACTTTATCCCGATGTGGAAGTCAATACGGACGAAGAACCCATGCTGTTTAAAGCACAACTGTTTGCACTCACTGGAGTGCAACCAGAAAGACAGAAAGTCATGTTAAAAGGATTAACATTGAAAGATGACGATTGGGGTAACATCAAATTAAAAGATGTAAGAGCGCAATATAATTTGTTTATATTAATATTTTTACCAATAATAGTATAATTCATAAATATCACAAAAATCAGAAGGCTAGAATATATTATTGGTTCAATTTTATAAGTTTTTACTCTGTTATAGGGCATTACTGTGTTAATGATGGGATCCAGAGTGGAAGATGTACCTATGGAACCTATAGAAAAGCCGGTGTTTGTAGAAGACATGAATGAGTCTGAATTAGCATCAGTTTTAGGATTACCTGCTGGTTTAAAGAATTTAGGAAATACTTGTTATCTTAATGCAACTATACAGTGCCTGAAAACTGTCCCCGAACTACGAGATGCTTTAAAAAATTATTCAGGAGGACTCACACCCACTAAGAGTTATGCACATAATATAACAGCAGCTTTGAAAAATCTATACGAACGAATGGACAAAGGATCATTTTACACACCTTTTTTCCTTGTGGAACTAATGCATTTAAGGTTTCCAAGATTTGCTGAAAAATCTGATCATGGAGAATTTCAGCAACAGGATGCTAACGAATGTTGGACAGAACTTATTAAAATGTTACAGCAGCAATTACCAGCAAAGGTTGTTATAAAAGATATCATTTTGATAATACTCGAATAACATTGAGATAAATAAATAGCTCCATATAATAGTTTAAAAACATATTTCTATTTTCTTCATGAAAATATTACTTCTTATTATGTATAAAATGATTATAGGAAAATTCTGCACCTGCAGAAGATGAGGCACAAAGTTCCAAACCCAGATCACTGATCGAACAATATTTTGGAGGGACGTTTGATACAGAATTAAAATGCGTAGAATCCGAAGATGAGCCACCTACTAAAGGAAAGGAGGAATTTTTACAATTAAGCTGTTTCATTTCAACTGAAGTCAAGTACATGCACTCGGGACTTAGGAATAAAATGCAAGAACAAATTACAAAAATGTCCCCAACGCTAGGTAGAGATGCTGTATATACGAAAACGGTAAAAGAATTTTGTACGATATGAAAAAAACGGTTCACATATGGAAAAATTTTTCGTATTTAATGAGTGTGGTGTATTTGTTTTATAGTCAAAAATTAGTAGACTCCCGGCATATTTAACTATCCAATTTGTACGTTTTTATTATAAAGAGAAGGAAGCAATAAATGCAAAAATTCTCAAGGATGTTAAATTTCCTCTCGAATTCGATGCCTTTGAATTATGCAGTAATGAACTTCAAAGTAAGCTTACTCCTATGCGTGAGAAATTAAAAGAATACGAAGACAATTTACTGGAAGAATCGCGCAAAGCGAAAGATAAAAAGGACACAGAAAGTGAAAAGAAACCGATGAAACCAGAATCATTCTGGTTTTCAAATGGTAAGAACTTTATATTTCAATTGTGCGTATCTTACTCATAAATATTGCTTTATTATAATTACAGATTTAGGATCAAATAACAGTGGTATTTATGTACTACAAGCGGTTTTAACGCACGGTGGACGGTCAAGTAGTAGTGGTCACTATGTAGCCTGGGTTCGTCAATCGGCAGATAGTTGGTTTAAATGTGACGATGAGAATGTTAGCGCTGTAACGAATGAAGATATACTAAAACTCAGTGGTGGAGGTGACTGGCATTGTGCATATGTCCTTCTTTATGGTCCAAAAATATTAGAAGTACCTGACACAGATAGCAGTGAGGATACAGCCGCTAAGTAATTTTTGTGTAACGAGAAAACTGAAATGACTGTAATAAGATTTCCTTCCTGTATGTATCAGAGGAATGCATTTAAAAGTTTTGAAAATTCCCAGCGTTATTGTACCTCTATACCAGGCCACACCTTCCCATTTTCTACTTAGTTCCAGGTACAGGCTTATTGAAAACACCGCTGATGTCCAAAGAATTCGTGTCGTTTCTTTGTCACCTTTCTGTTGTCCTTCTTGGAAGGAAATTTTAAAGGGCGCATTTCTTTTCGCGAAAATACAAAAGATTAACCGGGTACATTGTCGACTCACTGTTATTAAGGAATTTTGACGACAACGTAATGGAGAATTGTTTTGCATCATACCTAATTAATTAGTATTTTTCAATTTGCCAAAATATTGTATGATATACATTACATATTGTTTAAATACATAATACTGCATGCTACATTACTTTTTATGCCTCCTCTCTTCCTCCTTTTATCCCTTCCTCTACTTTATAAGATAAGCGGATAAGCGAGGAAGTCTGATAATGTAATAAATGAGATTTTATACATGTATACTAAAATGCAAAACCACGATACGCGATATACTCTACGTATACACATATGTAGGGACACTTGTAAGGTAGATAATTTGAAGCGTTTATGCAGTACAATCGTAGGCATTGTCGGTTGCAGTCGTAGTGTTACAGTGACAGTGACTATGTAATTTTTACCAAAAAATAAATGAAGTGCGACACGTGCTACAGTTTTGTAATCATACGAATGTTTGAAGTCAATTTTCCAAAAAAATGAACTCGAAGTCGTCTTTCAGCAAAGTGATACGGAATCTCTTCCATAAACTTTTAAGGTAATAAATATAATCTATCGATAACATAGAGAAAGCAAAATACTCCATGTATTTCATAATCTTGTGTCACTGTAATTATCAGCTGTTCGAAAAATCTAATGGGTTACAAAATTTTATCAATTTTTAAATATAATACTCGAACATCTATTACATACTTAAAATAGATTCACTGATAATATAGTAAACCTTTAAATTAAATTTTGATAAGGTATATCCGGTAGACATATGTATACATACACATATGTCGACCTTTCTCGAAGACTCATTCTAAAAAATTGTATAGAATAAAGGATAAAGAGATAAGAAAGATAAAGCTCGTGCAACTTTGATTTACTATACAGACCAAAATAAAAAATCCTTTTAATATTTCTTGTGTTTTCTACTTTTAAGTAATACGTATTTTTTCTTTTTTGTAGTAATTTAATTGTGCCAAGAATTTTTCGATTGAAGTTTTAGACGTACGAATGTAACGGGTGGTAGGTTCCAGTTATCGATGAGATAACTATTGAGTAATTATTCTAACGGTTACAACCAGAGAAATAGATATTTTTATGGTATCGGTATATAATGTTGTTTGCCAAACCCGATGAGATTATCCTACTTGATCCTACTGCCTAGTGCCCGTAGTATAGTGTCTACGGATTACGGAATGTACATATCTAAAGCCGACTTGGCTTGGGGATGGTAAAGGTTCGGCCGTGTTCGTGTTCACAGCCGAACTCGTCCGAAAGCTGCATTCCGCTGGCTACCTTCACCATGGGTGTTTTCACCTCTCCGTCGGTTTCTCGTGAAAAGTCTGTTAGTCTTTCGCGTTCATTTTTAAAGACGAATAAAGCGATCGTGGAGATGTCTTGAAACATTGCGCAGAATACGTTCGTCCCGTAATTGTACGTTTCGATGGTGAATCATTTGTGTGTACCTCATATCGCGATCCACTGTGTCGCACATGTGAGAATCTGAATTTTGACGGATTCGATTTAATGCAATGGCGACATCGTCGCTACTTTCAATTATGTTGTCCACATTGTGTGCGGCCGCTGCTCGCTATTGTGCTCCGAGAGACTCGTGTTACGATACGCCGTCAGTGTGAAACTATCGACCATCGGAAAGAGGAAAAAAATGATCTTCCGGTGTAAGAGAATTTACATCGTTCGAGAATATTGTAACGCACCGGTCCCTGAAACGAGTTTAAATCGAGCGGGCAACATTATCTACGTAAAAGTGCTTTTTGCATGGATCGTTTTCAGTGTTCTCGCCAAATTTTTACGCGACGTGCTTGTTCGGTTCATTATGATTCGATCGATAGTCATTATCCTTTTATCTCTCGTGCGCATAAGAAAATACTAATCCGAATTGTTGGCTCCGAGAGATTCGTGTCCGTATTTTATCTCATGTCTGTTCAACGTAACATCTCACCTATAACACTTGGGCAACTGTTTTACGCTTTTCGAATTTACTTCGGGGAAGACGCACCCACGCTGTTCGTTTGGATCTCGACAGAAAAATAGGGTATGCTCGCATGTATCTACGTACGCATAAATGAATCTTGCAGAAATGATTCAAACACGTCATTCCAGCGGAAGTGTTTAAATTAACATCTATATCAATTCAAGCGATTTGTCATTTACCTTAACAAAGTACAAGCTATCATAGAGGTACAAGCCGGACTGAAACAATATGTAATTTGATATACGTACTCACGGTTCCGATTTCCTCGCGAAATATATTTCAAACGAATAGAGTTTCTTCGTAACTGTTGCATTTATTATTGTTATTTTGATCGTAAAAGTTGGTTGCTTCCATGAAAATTCATTGGTACACGGGAAACGGGGGGACAAGTATGTTGATACATATACATGATTTTTGTCTAATATTATTGTAAATGGTTCTAGTAGATAATGACAAATGTTGCTACATAGGGATCAGATTTATACGGTGTTCCTAACCTGACATCACAAAAAGGGTCATATTATGACGTCAAGCTGGGATCAGCGCGAACTCGTCGAAAATGCGTACACCGATTGAGCATACCTCTGTTTTTATGAGATACACCGATAGGCGATGGAAAGTGTTACTGTTGCAAGAAAGCGACCATCCCAATAAATGCTCGCGTTTATTTTACGTGTATTAATTTCAAGTGTTTGACATTTATTATACCAGATGCCCACGGAAGAGTTGCAAGTTTCTTAGGAAGAAAGGAAGAAGTTACGGAGCTCCGAGAAGAGAAATAAGAATTTTATGAATAATCGTCGCATTTTAAAAAGACATTTCCACGATTAACGATAGTGACACTTAATTGAAAACGTTTTAGAAGTCAAAGGACATTTCGAGTGTTCATTACATATTCGCGCTGCGACTAATATAAACGGACTTCCTGGAGTGCGCGAACAATGTAGAACTGTATAAAAAATATCGAGACATGTGCGTTTCGAAAATCTTGCATTGTTGCTACTGTATCCCAATATCCACGCAGCAGGATCAAACGTGTGAAAACGTTGGAAAAACGTTCGAGAAATAGAATCTCTAGATTTCATGACACAGTGACAGCTAATTTTTACAGTGGAGCTTGAAGCAAGATTTCAAAAATCATGGGTAATTGTTTCAGCAGCCCAACAGATACCGAAAAAGAGAAGCCTGATAGAATAGGCAATCCTAACATAGAGGCAGTCGCGTCTCAAGCTAGTCCAGTGCCAACACCACCTCCAGATCCTATTAGGCCTATGCCACAAATTCCAGACGCGGATGTGCCAACTGCAAAAATTTTTGTTGCTTTGTATGACTATGATGCACGCACTGATGAAGATTTAAGCTTTAGAAAAGGTGAACATCTAGAGATTCTAAATGATACTCAAGGAGACTGGTGGTTAGCTAGGAGTAAAAGGACTCGACAAGAAGGCTATATTCCTAGCAATTATGTTGCAAAATTAAAGTCAATTGAAGCAGAACCGTAAGATCTATAAACAACTGTTTTTTCTCCCCCCCCCCCCCCCCCCCCCCCCCCCACCCTC